TCTCTCTCTCTCTCTCTCTCTCTCTCTCTCTCTCTCTCTCTCTATCTCGCGCGCTCTCTATCTTTGTCTCTCTCTTGTCGCTCATGATTCATGTGTACGCATTTCTATATTTCCATGTCCCGTTCCTACCCCATCTATTTCATGTTAGGCTTATGCAATGTCTTGTGTGTGAGGCACGTCTTCCTTACGTCTCGAGTACTCATATGGAACACCGCGGACATATAAGGGCTCTCCCAGGGACGCGTTAGTGGGCGTGCACATTCAAAGTCGTTACTAGGGCGTCTTAATTAGATGGCTACGAGCTCCTAACTTGAAATAAGAGCTCCTCCGTCGTACCCCCCCCCCTTCCTCGCCGCCGCCGCCGGCGACCCAACCCTTTCCCTTCAAGGGCTCGGCTTGTTGTAGCAGTGGCGACGGCGGTATGCGTGGCACCTATGACATGCGACCCGTACATCTATGCTGCGTGGACATGACGTGTATAAACAACGTGGACACAACGAGGACACAAAACGGACACAACGTGGACATAACGTGGACACAACATGGACACAACGTGGACACAACGTGGACACAACGTGGACACAACGTGGACACAACGTGTACACAACGTGTACACAACGTGGACACAACGTGGACACAAACCGGACACAACATGGACACAACATGGACACAACGTGGACACAACGTGGACATAACAGTAGCAGCGGCGTACATACGTAGCGACTAGGACTTGTCACCAGCTGGCAGATGACCGCAGCTAGCATCTAAGGGGCATGGCAGCCGAGTCACTACTACTCACTAATCATCTATCTCTCCTAGCCCCGCATCGTTATCTCTCCCCGGTGGTCGCCGTGGTAGTAGTCGTACGTCGGCGGCGCACGAGAGGGGGACTGCTGTACCTCGGTGCTATTCGAATATTTATTTTAAAAATCGACTTGAAGAAAAAAGAAGAGAGGGAGAATATAGAGAGAGAGAGAGAGAGAGAGAGAGAGAGAGAGAGAGAGAGAGAGAGAGAGAGAAAGAGATGTACGTCTAACTGCTGTGACGACCAGGGCGCAGACTCGAGACCAGATGTCACAGGCTGAAACCAACGACTTAATTTACGTATAGGAATCTCAATAGCAGGCGACAGTGGACATGTCTTGACCCTGTCCATCTGCCGCGGGCGCCCCCACCCCCACCCCTAGCGTCCGCTGCGTGTTAGGTATATTATATACGGTAGTCAGGGCAATGATGGGCCGGGTGATGAGCGCACAAAGAAGATCGAGAGGGATGATACTGTAATTGTTCACCGGAACGTTCTAAATGGACGCCACACAGTCACATTGTGAGTTTATCACAAAGAGACCATCCGCCCACTAGTAAACAGAGACAAGTGTCCGACAATCGGGTTCGAGCCGTAAAAACAAGCGCGTACGTGTGTGCTGCTATACCAAGAGCTTAATTCTGATTATACAAATAGCCGCACGCGCGCCCGCAGGTAAATACGTCGAAGAGATACCGCCTTTGTTCTCTCTCGCTGCGTGATCACGTGAAGTAGCTAGAAGCGGTCAATTACGATCGAGGAAAGGTCGTGCAGCGAAATTTTTATTATTGGCCGTGTTTCGCGGCAACGAATGTATACGCATATATGAGTTTCCTAGCTCCCATCCTCATCATAGATTGCACGATGAATGAGTCTGCCTGTTTTCCGCGTATCTGTGACAACTACTAGCTGAAATGCCACACTTGTCTATAATATGCTGTAATTTGGGCCAAGGCAGAGTGAAAGCACTGCGCGACACACTTGCTTCTAATGTATCTATGCCGTGGGATGATTTCTCGATGAGTGCTGGCGTGGAAATCGTCTGCAACATCCGCCACACGGACGAAGAGCTCTCGGAACATATTATACAAATCGCTAATGGTATTAGCGTACTAACCTATATATCTGCTTTCTAACGATCTCTGTAATTAGGTGAATAATTAGAATCCCGATGTAACGGTAACAACGGACCAGTCACGACGGAACCTTTGAAATCAGTCAAATCTGGGTTGTACCCTATATGGTCAGGAGTGCAATATAGGTCTATATATTATCAAGAGTAGATAATAGGGTATAGGGTAGACCCTATTATCTACTCCTGATATTATCAAGAGTCCATGATAGAAAATTTTCTATTATGTGACTAGCTCTTGATATTATCACACTCCTGATACGATAGTATCCCCTTACACAATTGATGCGGTTAGAATTAGGTTAAGATTAGGTTAGGATTAAGGGTTAGGAATAAGGTTTATGAGCTAGAGATTATGGTCAAGATTACGGGATAAGTTAGGATATATGGCTCACGATAAGGGTTAGGTTAGGGTTAAGGGTTATAGGGATAAGGCTTATGAGTTAGGAATTATGATCAAGATCAGGGGATAAGTTAGGATATATGGCTTACGGTGGGGGTTCGGTTAGGTAGATAGGGATAGGGTTATGCATGGAGATGATGTGTGATGACAAGTCTGACGACACTACGATGTCGGTGATGGGGGCACGTATGTCCTTAACATCTGGCTATTATGTCATTGGCTTGAAGCGAGGATTTCTCATGTTTTCGAACCGTCTTCATATTTTCCCGACCGCTCTGATATACTTACCCGTACTCCTTGCATAACACCAAATCATCCATAATATAAAAGTCCATTTCTATATTATGGACTCTTGACCAAATGTATATGGTATAAGGCTAACAGGCCATTCTGTCTTCGCTGCACATTGCAGACACTGGGAGTGTGGGCAGCAGTGATACGGCTTACTCGTCCAGCTATACGTCATCGCCGTCGCCGCCGCTGCTGCTGAGTCGCAGTGCCCCCTTGCAGGGGACGACGCCGCAGCACGGCAATGCCGACGAGGGCATTGATGTCGACGACGCATTCGGTTATTTCGCGGACGAGGCTTCTCCCAGGAAGAGGAAGGTACGCAAATATCACTCATCATCGCTCGTCTCAATCTCTCCTCTCTCTCTCTCTCTCTCTCTGGTGTAAATGTGCTTGTCAACGTGGTGCGCACGAGAGAGAGAGACGCTGTGTAAGGATGCTATTGTGTCCGTCGCCCGAGATCGTTCAATCTTCCCGCCTGTTGCCGTAAAAAATCGAGAATATGAGGTGTGACGAGGTGAGCACAACGCCTAGAGACTCGCCGCGGACGAGGAGGGAATTCGGTGGGAGATTGGTTAGGACAGGGCAACCACGAGCAGAGCCGAAGCGAGCCGTAGCAGACCAGAGAGGAATTTGGAGACCACGAGCAGGGAGAGGAGGAGAGATGGCAAGGAGCATGGGCACTCATGGCTGGGGGAGGGCGTTGAGGAGTGGAGAGGGGCAGAGGGAGGCGAGAGAGGCGGTAGAATGGGGGGGAGAGAAAGAGAGAGAAGGAAAGAGGAGAGAATGAGAAGAAGAGAAGGGAGAAAGAGAGAAGAAAGGCGGCGCGTGAAGAGGAGTGAGAGAGGCGAGACGCGCGAGAGATGCGTAGCTGGAGTGAGAGGAACCGCGCGACCCGGTGAAAAGGCGAGAAGGGGACAGAAGAAGGGAGAGAGAGAGGAGACCGGGGAAAGGGAGAAATTTAAAAAGAGAAAGACGAGGGAGAATACGTGCGTGTTTGCGCTGCAGAGATTGCAACAAAAGGAATGAGTGAGAATCGAACTGATGGGGCCAATATCAGCGATCCTAAATCGGATTTAATAAATTATTCCGATAGCAGAGTAAGGATTGTGCGCGATAGAATATAACGCGAAAGGAGAGATAAGATTGGGGCTAGGAGAATAGATGAATAATAGTGATAGTAGTGAATGCGCCATGCTTAATTGTAGCTGTAGCTAGCTGTGAAGATTAGTCGTACTATGTAGTGTGTACTGTTATGTATTGTTAGTTGTGTCATGTTGTGTGTATGGTGTGTTTGTGTAGTTGTTCACTGTTACACGTTGTGTACCAGTTGTGTCAGTTGTGTACGTGTTAGTTGTACGTGTGTCATGTTGACGTTATAGTTGTGTCGTCTTGTGCCTGTTGTACTGGCTGTTTATACCACCGTCCATGTCCCCAGCAGCCATAGAGTTAGGGTCCGCAATGTCCAAGTCGACGCCAATGCACCCGCCCGTCAGTCCCCACTTGCTACAACAAGCCCGAGCCCCCTTGAAGGAAAAAGGGTTGGTCCCGCGCCGCGGCGGCGACGAAGGGGGGGTACCGACGAAGACTCTATTCAATTAGGAAGCTCGTAGAGCCATCTAAATAAAGCGCCCTAATAACGACGTTTGAATTTGCAGCCCCATAACAGCGATCCCCTGGGAGAGCACCTTATAATGTCCGCGGCCTGTCAATTATAATACTCGAGACGTAAAAGAAGGACGTCCCACACATTCTCAAACATTGCATAAGCCTTAACATAAAATAGATGGGGTAGGAACTGGACAGTGGAAATTATTAGAAAAAATGCTACTGAAATCATAGGGACAAAGAGAAGACATAAATAGAGAGCGCGCGAGATACGAGAGAGAAGAGGAAAATGAGAAGAGAGAGAGAGAAGAAGAGGGCCGCGAGATAGGTAGAATAGAAGAGAGCAGAGAGAGAGAGAGAGAGAGAGAGAGAAGAGAGAGAGAGAGAGAAGAGAGATAGTGAGTGAATGAGAGAGAGAGAGAGAGAAGAAAGAGAGAGAGACGAACAAACTGAGAGAGAGAAAGAGCAAGAGAGGAAGAAGAAAAGCGAATGAGAAAGAGAATAAGAGAAAGAGAACGTAAGGGGCGGGCGAGATAGGAATAGAAGAGCGAGGAGAGAGAGAGAGAGCAGAGATGAGAAAAGAGAGAGAGAGAGTATTAGAGAGAGGAG